ACTTTTCTATGACTGAATTCCAGATTTCTTTTGATTTGGATCTTGCACCAAGAGGCATACCAAACAACCCCTTAGGACTTCACACATTAAATGAATGGCAATGATCTGGCAAGATCAGACCTTTTCACTCATAAAATCTTCAGAAAGCCAAGAGGCAAATATAATACCTCACTCGATGAATAGAGAGAATCCCATTCAAAACTAAAGCCATTGAACCCTCACCGGTGCAAGTACGGAGTAACCATAATGTGCCTCCTCAAAGGAAGGCAAAATCACAGCATGATCCGCAGATGTTCACAACCCCTCTCAGACCATCCATTCTGATCCCAATTGTCTGGTCTTGGAAGGCATAAACCAAGCTTTTCTTCCTTTGCATCCCAACTGCGCATAAGCTATGATGTCTAGTGGCAGGTCACATATGGTTTTGCCATACATGCACTCATGTAGAAGACCAACTAACCCACCACAACTGTTAACTTAAAGAGATAACACACAAATACATCCCGTCCCTTCTGATAATTTTATAATCAAGAAAATCAGGATATCCCTCTTCCATAACTTGGAGCTGAACATCAAAGGTAAAGGTAAAAAGAGAAAATATGCTTACCTTTTATTGATATTAGAGAATTAAATGGAGAACTACAGAGACATCTCATGTTACGCTGTTAGAAAAAGGCTTCATTGTTGCTTGGATCAGTATGAGGCTCTAATGAAAGAGGTTCTCAGAATTAACCTAATTTTTGCATATCACGCCTCTCTTCTTTTCTTTACTTTATACGGTTAACTACAAAATCCTTCCTCCTTTTCTCGTAAATGAAAACCCAAGAGCTCCAGATTGCTCCCTTTGCATACTCACAAGTAAGTTGTCTGAACATTAAAAATGAAATAGAAAGAGTGCAAGGACAGCAGAAAACAGAAAAGTCTGAGTAATGAGCTAGATAACATATGTAAAGAAAAAAACAAAAAGGACTTCGAGGATTTGCTATTACTCAATATTGTACAATAAATGGCAAAGAAATCAATTACGATGATGATACTCCTTCAGCCTTCAGCTAATTTATTTGTCTTGCTTTACAATCGAAGTTGAACCTTTTCAATAGTAGCAAACTTACAATCTCCATACCTTAAAACAGATCAAAAATTGAGATATATATTTTCTTAGCCGTGATATAATATCTTCATCTTAAGTAGTATATAATATATTAACCACTCAGTAACACGATATGCAGGAAGACATTGGATAACACAAAAAGGAGGCATAGACTAACCATTTGCATGCCGAGAACTCGATAATTCTCAAAGGCTTCGGGAGTTATGTATTCAGAAACAGGCATGTGACGCTTTGATGGTCTCATGTACTGACCAAATGTCATTACATCAACACCTGTCGCACGCACCTTTTCCATTGTTTTAACAACTTGTTCAGGAGTTTCCCCACAGCCCAACATTATTGAAGTCTTTGTCAATGTACCGGCAGGGGCATAGTCCTTGGCCATCTTTAGAACGTCCATGGACTGCTTGAAGTTAGCACGATGATCTCGTACTACACTCTGAAGCTCTTCGACGGTTTCAATGTTGTGAGCAAAAACATCTAATCCAGATTTTGCAACTTTCTCTACACATCCAGGGTCTCCTCGAAAATCTGGCGCTGCAGGATGAAATCAGATAATGTCACGGCCTTTTTATTTAGGTATTGCTTAACTGACGAGAAAATTGAAAAAAAAAGGGACAAAAGTTAAAGTTCGATAATTTGTACTATGTATTTAGTTAGTTAGACGATAGCAGGAAAAGCACAAACGCTGTCTATAAACCAGATCCTTTATTAGCTATAGGACTTCAAAAAAAATTTGTGACCACCAGCTCTTCTCATTTCAAAAATATTGTTTTTCCACTCAAACACAACATGTAATCCTTTTTTTATTTGAGATGGAACATGTAATACCCTTTTTTTATTTTGATAAATTTAGTTGCTCACATTTGCCAGCTTGATAAAGTCAGTTGCTTCACATTGTCCTAGTAGACACATTTTTCAATAACTTCTGTGACACTTCAAACCGACCTTAGACCACTTCTAGAATTTCGGAATAGCTACAACAAGGTATAGATGCTTTTGCAGGTGTACTTATAACTTATAAGTCAAAAATTGTACATCAAAAGAAAGTAATACCTTCAATCATGTCTCACAAATAGAATATCTAGATTCTCAAAAACATCACGCCAAACAAAATATGTGAGTTTCATACTTCAGAAAGAGTCATTATTTCAGCTTGTTGTGCTCTGTTGGGGGCATTAATTTGTCATGGGTACAAGAAAAGGATAAATATTGCCAGGCTACCAGCTGAAGATTCAGCCACTCATACAGCCAAGGTCCACTAACAACCAGCTGAAGATAATCAAATCAAAGCAAATCTAATTGATGGCACAGGGAAGGGAAGGGGAAGAGGGAGTAAGAGCCAAAGAGGATGAAGTACAGGAACTGAAGAACATGTATGGATGACAAGAAGTTTCACTTCTTATTACGACGCTAGATGCGCAATGGTTGTTCAGTCGCTGCAACAACAAAATAAGGAGCACAGCTTATTTGTGCAAACCAGATTGTTGCCGTTTATCAACCTAACAGCAGTAACTTTGTTGAAATTTTGTAAAGACTGTCTTACACATCAGATCAAGTCATCAAACACAAAGGTAAACGAGCAAACAAAGTATGAAACCGTGTAAATGTTCGACGTTTTGGGGGTTTAGGTCAGGGTAGAAAGTTTAGAAGGCATGTAAAAAAAAGGAGCACTTACTAAGTGCTTCTATGAGCATATTTGGCTTCAATGCCTTCAACTTTTGCACTGTCTCAGTGAAATGACCGCTTCCTTGATCAGGTAAATCATCACGGTCAACACTGGTAAGTACAACGTAATCTAAACCCCACGAGGCAATGGCCTCAGCTACATTGGCAGGTTCATTTGGATCAGGAGGAGGTGGAGTGCGTGATGTCTTCACATTGCAGAATCTGAAATTTCAAAGGGCAGAAATTAGTCAATGATTGTTCACATGGATCAAAACTCTTGTTATCTGTCCCTAAAGCAAATTTAAATCCCATCTACTTTAAGAGATCTCCTCTAACCTTCCCAACAACCAACAGTGCACATACACTAAAACAGGTTCGCTGAGAGGAAAAAAGATAAGCCTTGAAAAAAACAAAAAAGAAACCTTCTGGTTTCTCATCCCTTTCTTACAGAAGCCCATCAAAAGCCCACTACACTCCTAGCAACATGGCTGTGAAAGTCTAAACTAGCTTTCAATCCATTATTGTTATATCTTCAGCTCCTTAAGACTATCAACAAATAATATTTTCACATGTCAACTCATTTCCATCATTCAGCTCATTTAGCATTATTCATATAGACAGTAGTGTCTAGGGGACTAGGTAAAGCGTTCCCATGTTATCTACTTTGTTGAACACATTAACAAAGATATCCTGTTCAGTTCCTTTCTCACCACAGAAACATAAATAAAGTGGCAAAGAGATAAATCCAATCATGCTTACATCTTCCTACAGCATCCCGAAACAAGAAAAATGTTTCCATTTGTTCCAAGTATCAATTGCCAGGAAAAGAATTTGTTTTAGAAGAACTGATCTTTCTCTTTTACAATAAGAAAGAAAACAATCTTTTTTTATGTGATAAGGAAAAAAACAATCTTTTCCCATAGCACAGATTCCCTAAGCACGGAATATGCGATCATGTACAACAATAATCCAAATTAATATCAATCAATCAATCAACTGTAACTCAATCCAAAACTAATTAGATTCAGCAATAAATCAAAATGCCTAAAAAAAATTCAAAGAAATGTACATGACCTGCAACCACGGGTACAAGTGTCACCGAGAATCATAATGGTAGCGGTAGCAGTACCAGTTTCACCACCGGACCAACACTCTCCCAAATTAGGGCATTTAGCCTCCTCACACACAGTGTGAAGTTTCAATTCCCTCAATTTCTTCTTGATGTGCGTGTATTTCTCTCCTCCAGGTATGGCTTCCTTCATCCATTTCGGTTTTGGAAGAGGCTTCTTCTTCGTGCCTACCTCAACCGAGTACTCTTTATCCGACTGGAGCCTAATGAAGTCCGATAGCGTCGGTGATTCCGCCGCTAGCCGGTGGCGGAGTCCCTCGAGGGTTTGAGCGTATTGAGGTGGGGATGCTGGTGTAGCAATGGAATAAGAGAAGAATTGAGGTAAGAGATAGTGGTGGTGGTGGTGGTGATTTTGACGGGATTTGAGTGATCGGAAAACGAGGGATGTGAAACGGGAATTCATTTTCCGGCGGATTTGGATGTGCTATTGGTGCCGGAGAGAGAGGGGAGAGGGAAGTAGGAAAATAGGATTTTAATTTCCGGGCGGGATTGGATGGATGGAAAGGCGCGGGGCCTACACATGGGTGAGCTGGGTCCCACCCATCAATCTCTAGTAATGCAAGCACAACCTGTTGTATGTGTATGCTAAAATTTAGGTATTCATACCAGCGTATCTTGACTAATTTTTATTTCACTCACATGGATATAACCCCCACTTCCATGTAAGTAACCCCACTTTCAACCGAGAGGTTGTGAGTTCGAGTCTCCCCAAGAGCAAGGTGGGAAGTTCTTGGAGGGAAGGATGCCGGAGGTCTATTTGGAAATAGTCTCTCTACCCTAGGGTAGGGGTAAGGTCTGCGTACACACTACCCTCCCCAGACCCCACTAAGTGGGATTATACTGGGTTGTTGTTGTTGTTGTTGTCACATGGATATAGGTATGGATTAATACTAACCACCAAAATTTAGGTAGATAAAAAAATTACTTAATAGAATACAAAATTTGGTAAAAATATATATTGAATGGCTAAATTTTGAAACAAAAAGTAGGAAGTACAAATTTTAGTGCCCGTTTGGACATAAAATTTGATGGAAGATTTTTTCAAAAAAAAATCATTTTTTTTCCGAAATTTTTAATTTTCACTTGAAGATGCATTTTGAAAATTTTCAAAAATTTGAAAAATTGCAAAAAAGCTGTTTTCCAAAATTTCACTCAATTCACTCACAAAACTTAAAAAACAACTCAAACTGAAATTATGTCCAAACACAACTCTAAATTTCAAATACCACAATTGAAAAAGAATTCACCATTTTCTCAAATTTTACAATTCTTATGTCGAAATGCCTACTTAGAACAATTCTTAAGGCTGCTATTTAGGGATTATTCAATATTTATTTTATTCTGAAAATTTAAGCTAAAAATTTAATTTTAAAACAATTCAGAATATTTGTATCCCAAAAAAATTAAACTGAAAACTTAGAATTCAAAATATGTTGGCTAATGCTGAAATAGCAGCTTTTTAAAATGGCTACATGGTATCATTTCTATGTTTTCAACGGGGTGAGAAGGAAGCAAGAAACCCAAACAATTTGCCTTCTATCTCCCTTACTAGATGGGCTGGATTGCTCATCCGTTTAGAACAAAAAACAAATGTTTCAAACAAAGCTTGTAAAGATTATTAGTTACTGATCTTTGATGAGAAATTTTCATAAAACACTATCTTTTAGTAGTAATTAACCATCTATAGATACCATTTACTATATTACGAATTATAAATACTTTTTCTGTGGCTATATGATGTATTTAAGCTATTGTATTCATGAATACAGTAGCAAAAAATAGGCGTGAATCAAGGAAGTCCAGCTAATTAGTTGTTGTATTCGAGTGTATTCGACTGTATTCATGGCGTGGAACATGGGATTACAGCTGGACAGATTACTGTATTCGACTGTATTCACAGCGTAAAACAGGGGATTACACTGTTTTAAAACGGAAAGTGTATCAATTAACATAATAGGCTACTAATATAACTCAACAAACTCAATTATAACACACAAAATTTGTATTTCCCGGTTATAAAAAATTTTCTCAACTGAACCCCCCCCCCCCAAAATATAGCAATCTTTAGAGAAATTATATAATACATGTGAATACATAAATTATCTTAATTGAAAAAATACATGAATACATAGAATACAGCGGGATACATTGAAATACAATAAAAAAAGACAATGAATACAATGAAATACACGGAATACAGCGAGATACATTGAATTACAATGAAAAAAACGACAATGAATACAATGAAATACATGAAGCCACTCCGACGAATCTGTGGCGGCCTAAGAGGAGAATTGGTTCGAAAGCTTTGTAACGGAGGATTTCAGGCTGGACTACTCGATCGGAACGCCGTCGATTTTGATGAAGCCTTTCCACTCCATGGTCGTTGCTTTGATTTCGATGGTCGTTGCTTTGATTTCGAACCTCCATTTGAAAGAATGAGAGATCTAAACAATGCACTCCATAGGGATAAAGACCCCGTGATTATACAATAGTCCTCGGCCATGGATTTGGCACCGACCAATCCTGATTACTTCGATTTTGATCGATACTCTTCCCTTGAAGGTTATGCCTACGATTTACTTGCCATTTTGGAGGAGCTTCAAATCAATTGTCGTATGTACTTAGGACATTCCTTATCTGCCATGACCGGTGTTGTTGCTTCCATATTTCGTCCTCACCTCTTCTCCAAACTCATCCTTGTTTCAATGGGGTTTGAATGGCAGAACTGATCCGCAGAAATTCTGGAGGGTACTAAGATAAAGGGTTATATTTTACAATGGGATGTATCAAAGTAGAGAGAAAGAAAATAGTGTAACTGATTAGAGTATTTAGTGGCTTAGGGCTAGGAGGTAACCAAAATTAAATATTTTGCTATAAACCTTAAAAGGTATATATAGAATATAGTTTTTTTAAATGGTATTTATTTAAGATAAATAAGGTGTTAACCTTTGCTATATGAGATAAAAATTCCATTTTTGATTGATAATGAGTAAGGATGAAACATTTTTTCTTCTTCCAATAGTCTGGTTATGAGAATGGAAAAACCTTTTGATTGGATGTGTTTTGCTTTTATCTCCCTTTGAGAGCTTATTCCGTATGAACTCAAATCAGCCAAACTAGTGCATTTTAAATGTTGAATAATTAAATAAAATAATTAATTTTCACATGATGATTTCTATTAAAAAGATTTTTAAAAAATGAGCAAATGATCATTTCAATCAATGATATCACAATTTCGAATAGTACATGAACAAAGTTAACCGTTTCTTCATGTATATCTATATAATATAAAAATCACTAAAATACAGGGGCAGAGCCAGTATTATGGCTACGGGTTCGGCGAACCCAATTGTTTTAGTTCAAACCCTATATTTACCTTGAATAATTTATTGATTATTGTTAAAATGAGCACTAAACCTGTCATTGATGAGCAATCGAAGCTCTGTGAAGAAAAGAAGAAGGAATGGAGAAAAGGAGCTTTTTCTCATTAACCGAAAACTAAACTGAAATGCATTGTACAAGTCTACTTTTATACACTTACTAACTCTAACCTCCACTAACTAATAATATGATAACTAGGGATTCTAGTCTATTTTATGCTCCTTTTTGCTTGAGTTTTTGATTAAAAGTGTATACAAGTATTTCCAAAAGCTAACTTGTTGTGCTTGTTTGCAATATTTGGTCCAAAAGATACAAGAAAGTCAAATCAGCTCAAAAAGGAGTGAAACCTGCACAAGTCAAAGCTGAGTCAACTGAGCGCTACAGCGGAAAATCAACCGCGGATGCTAAGGACCTACCGCGACAGTGGTCCTTTTCTCGCGATCCGCGGTGGCAAAGATCAGAGAGTTTTCATTTGGGGCTTTTCAAGTCACTGCTGACCTCAGTGCTTTTATGCGACTACGGAGGACCTACCGCAACAGCGGTCGTGGTCCGCGGTGAAGAGGTTCAGAGAGTTGGAATTGGAGTTGGAAGATTGAAGCCGCGGTCCGCGCTTGATTTTATGTGGCCGCGGTAGCCTCACCGCTGCAACGGTCCATTTTCCGCTGTCAGCGGTACCTCCGTTAGGGGAATTTTTATCCAAAAAATTTAGCCATGTATAAATACTTTCTTTTCAGATTTTTAGGTTATCTTATCAGTGGTGAGCACGTGAATGCCGTATTTTACCTATTTTGAGTAATTTTTTAGCTAGTTTAGCAATTAATCATAGTTTCTTATCTTGTAATTACATTTTATGGGTTATTCTTCATCTCAATCTATAATTTCTTCTTCAATTATGAGTAGCTAAACTCATTAGCTAGAGTTGTGGCTCAACCCTAGTGTGGGTATTTAATGGGTCTCTTATTTTAGGGCTTATATGTTTATGGGTGATGGATATTTGGCCTGATTTATGCTTTCTATGTTAAATTAGTGGTTGCAAATACTAATTTGTGCCTTTTTGACTTAGGCTCTTCTTGAGAAAGAGAGATTAAGTCTAGGAATTTCAAGCCAACAAGGAATTGGGGTGTATTCAAGAGATTGATAGCCCCAATTAAAGGGTTAAACCTAGAGATAGTAATACCCGACTTGAGCCAATATTGCTTGCACAAATTGAACACCCAATTGGACTTGAGAAAGCCAATTAGGGAAAAGTCAGTCAAACTACCGAGAGGTATAGAGTGAGTAGCTTCATGCATTGGCTATATCACGATCCCAACTATAATATTATTTCCCTAAGTTTTAGATCCCATTAGATACTCACCTAGGAGAAAATCACTTCCCTAGTGCCTTTTTACCCATTTAGAAAACCCTACAAAAATATCTTCTTAGTTTAATTTTGTGCATCATTTGTATAAAATTAGAAGTAACAAACAAACAAGAATGATTGAAAGTGCAATCAAGAGCACTACACTTTGCTAGATTAGATAGGAATCCAACTCCAAATATATCTAGCTCCTTGTGGATTCGATCCCGACCTTCTCGGGTAAAAGCTGCATCGACCGCTCTTGCCACTCTATAGTGGTGTATGATTGGACCCGATCACTTTTTGGTGCCGTTGCCGGGGAGCTAAAAGGTTTTGGCTATCTATCTGACTAGTTTTGTGCTTTGTTTTTATTTCCTTCTGTGTTACTAATTTGTGTGTGTCATCAATTCAGGTACAAAATGGCGAACAACGATAATCTTGGAAATGCTATTCCGGGGGAGGAGGTGGATGATAATATTGATAATGAGGTACCTATAGTGCCTCAAGCTCAAAGGAGAGGCCGCCAGGCCAATGATAATGTTCCAGACCCTCCCCCGCCTCCTCCAAGAGTCGTTCTTCGAGTGCTTCCAAACGAAGGATATACTAGTGCAATTGTCCCACCCTGGATCCATGTGGGCAATTTTCAAATTACAAATGTGATGTTGACTTTGTTAGAGTAGCGAGGGTATTTCACAGGTGCTCCCCATCAGAATACATATAAACATCTCAAGGTCTTTGTGGATACATGTTGGGGAAGCAAGCAAACAAATGTGTCAGAGGATGCATTACGGTTGAGACTATTATATTTCTCACT